TCTATTAATTATGTTGCTCATTTTTTCATATCGATGTTCGGTTCAGACTCCTTCCAGTAGGTGGCGATAATGCGCCTCTAAGTTGTTTGTCAGCCGCGATTAAAAATTCCAGAAGAAGAAGATGATGACGCGGTTGGTTGAAGTTTCCTGCCAGTTTGAAACCAACCGAGGGAAGAAAGCCGCTTGGCTCCCTGCAGCGGTAAGTTAGCTAGTTACTTTGTTAACTAGCTAGTAGTTAATTAGTGTTTCCTGCTGATCGCTCTCAGAGGCTGAAGCTGCTGTTGTTTTTCAGGTGAACGTGAAGTTTTCTGGATGTTTTTTAATGTTTAAATCAGGACGCCCCTGTTGCACCAAACTCGCTTTGAAAACCTTCATGTTTTAGTTTGAATTAGTTACTGACTGACCAACCAACTATAAGAAGCGCTTCTTTTATCACTTTAATTATCCTCAGACACAATCTTTACTGACGGCCTGTATTTAAAGTCCAGCTCGGTTTGTTTAAAGCTCCAAAATAAGACTTTACTGGAAACTTTCTGCTGCGATCATTAAAGTTGTGAAGATGTTCCCATCATTCCGCTAAGGTCATTGACCAGCAGCAGCAGATGGTCCCTGCAGCCCAAGCCGCCTGACCGCTGAGCTGCAGCGGAGTTTCTCTCCCTGAAGAGCGGCTGTTCTCCAGGCAGGGCTCCGCCAGCCGCAGGGACCGTCTGCAAATTACAACACCCATAAAAAATGTGGAACCTAAATCCAACAGGTGTAATGTAAACAAAATCATCTATATGACCTTATTTTTTCCGGTTTTTTTTTTTTTTAAATAAAATATAATACTTTTAAATGATTTTAACACAGCCTAAAATAATGGTTAATTAAATATTTGATTCCATGTTGCAGTCCCTTCAAAATAGAAGCACACATAAACTATGTTCATACTAAAACTTTTTATTTAGAGAAACATGCTAAAGTGTAATTTGGAGGAAATCCTCAAACAATATCTGATTAATTGATCAATAACTGTGGTAATAGCAGCAGTAAAGCTTCTCCTCTGATCAGAGTGCAGCTCTAATATTAAGAAAATATCCAGGTTTTTATTTAATAAATAAAATGACCAATAACTACTTTGTTCCCTATTATAGTGCCATAAACGTTGATCTTGATGATACTGAACATCTTACTTTGAGAAAATATGTTAAAATCTCATTTTAGGAGATTTCCATTCCTTATGTTTTATAATAATTTTTATTTCTAGAATTGCGCTTCTAAAGGGATTAAATGTTGAGTTGCTCTGATGGCTTGACTCTAATCGTCATTGTGGTTCCTCCGTTTGTGGATCAGACTTTCTTTATCTGATGGTTGTTTCTACTGACACTTGTTGTGATGTGTAACCATAGCAACCATAGGATGGTTAGTTGATTTTTTTTTTTTTTTTTGGTACCCTCGGGAGCAGCTAATTAACATAAGAAGAAGAGGGAACAATTTAAAATCTTTAGCGAACAAGGGAGACAAACAAAGTCCTAGCAGGAACCCAGCCAGAGTATCAATGATGCAGCCTCAAGTGTTTGACTGAAACTTCACTGACTCTGCTGCAGCTCCAGGCAGAATGGAGGAACAAATGTTCTGGAGAAAGCTAAGAACATGATCTTCACAGTACTTCATTTCACCACCAATCACATGGTGAAGTTTGCGGATGACACCACGGTGGTGGGCCTCATCAGAGACGACAACGACCTGGACTACAGAGAGGTGGTGGAGCAGCTGGTGCAGAGACTTCAACCTGATTCTGAATGTGGAGAAAATGAAGGAGATCTTCGTCGACTTCAGGAAGAACCTGGCCTAACCACGCTCCACTGCTCAACAGCTCAGCTGTAGAGGTGGTCAGCAGCACCGAATTCATCACAGACACCCTCACCTGGACTGGAAACACCACCTCACTGGTCAAAAGGGCCCAGATGCGCTTGGACTTCCTGCAGAGGATGAGGAGAGCCCACCTGCCCCCACCCATCCTCTCCACCTTCTACAGAAGCACCATAGAGAGCGTTCTGACCAGCTGTCTCACTGTGTGGTGTGGAGGCTGCAGCGCCTCAGACTGGAAGAAGGTGAGAACAGCAGAGAGGATCATGGGGGCTCCTCTTCCCTCCATTAAAGACATTTCATCCCAGCGCTACGTGTCCCGAGCCCGTGACATCATCAATGACCCCCCCCACCATGGACTGTTCTTCCTGCTGCCCTCTGGGAAGAGGCTTCACAGCATTCAATGCAGGAACAGGAGGTTCTGCAACAGCTTCTTCCCGTCCGCCATCAGACCGATGAACTAAACTCTAAATCATGTTCTGATCATGTTCAGATTCTGCATCACACTGATAACACCAAACCAAAAATACTGCATAATTGCACCATATATAATAATGCTCTGAACTTCCACATCAATGCGTTTTTCTGCACCATGTTTTTTTCTCCCACACTGATCACTGCTGCATTTATGGAATAGAAATGTTACTCTGTGTATAAAAAAAACAACAACAATAAAAGTTGGCTAAGAATATCAGTTAAGGTCGGTAGTTTAATCAAGTGTTTTTATATGTTTCATTCATTTTAACATGACATGAAATCAAGTGATTTAAATTCTGTTGCATTCAAGGCTCCAGTTCAATGAAACATTTTATCAGTTTAATATTTCTCCTTTAATAACGTAAGCACTAGTAGAGCTCTTCCCTTGATAGAGGCTTTAGATTCTGTTTTAGTTACTGCTATGAACCCCTGAGCAGCATCAGTGGATGCAGGAGGCGGCCTGCAGCTGGAGGCCCCTCTGAGCACCACCTCAGGCCTTCTCTATCAGAGGGCCCATGGCCCCTGTGTATGGGGTCCAGGGCAGCAGTGGCTACGCTGCAGCTAAAGTCTCCTCCTGCCATTTACTATCAGTCTTCAGATGCATTACAGCTTTCATCATCAAAGCATTTCTACACATGAGCACCTTAGATGTTTAATCGGAGATGCAAGCTTCACTGCATATACCGGTTAGATGGACGGCTTTGAAATGTTTTCTCATCACAGTAAAGCATGTGGGCTCTCCCAGCAGTGGGGATGAACGGTGCGTGGCCCCGTCCTGCTGCTGCAGTGGGTTCTCCTGGTATGAAGGTTTCCCTCAGCCTGACGTCAGAATCTGGCTTTAAATCATGACTGAACTGAATAAACGGGTGTTTTTATTATTGGTAGATTTTATTCTCTCAGACAAAATAAAAGAAAATGTTTATAGACAAAGTGGACCCCCCTGAAGACATGGCCTGCCCCCCTCCCCCCCTATAAGCCGGTCAGTAACGGGTTGCTGGTTCTGTTTCAGTGCAGCGTGATGACCCCGGGCTGGGAGGACATGTCCCCCCCCCCCTGAATGATTCACTGGATCCACTTCCTGTTCCCCCTCTGGCCTCATTCAGGAAGCTTGATTTGATTCATTTCTTTATTTTACCATCTGACTTTCCGCCTGATTGGATGGCTGACTCTACACCTGAGCGATCAGTGCCTCAGCCCCGCGGCCTGTTCCAGCTCCGCTGTCCTCGGCTGACGAGGTCCCATCGAGGACCCGGCAGTCAGATCTGCTCCATGTCCGAGTAATGAACGCAGACAGGAAGCAACACGCTACCTGCTGGGAACAAGGCCAACTGTTTCCTGCTGACAGGCTCCTACTGGAAGGCGTGGATCTGGTGTTTCCGTGTGTTCCTTAATGAGCCGCTGTGGGATGGAGGATAGCAGAGCTAGGGGAGCCTTTATTTCGGAGGCTGCTTTCTTATGGAGAGAGGGATGCAGATTGTCTTTCAACACCAATAAGTTCAGCGGAAGGTTCAAATTTCAAGGTGGCTAAGAAAGGTTCAGGAAGCTGAAGAAGCTATTATTGATCTGAAAGCTGAAGGTTGATTAGCCCTGAATGCTAAAGGTTAAAGCTGGACCTGCTGAGGTTAAATAAAGACGGATCCATGGTCTGAACAGAACCACACCCTGGTACCAACTGGGTCGGTTCTAGAGCAAACTTAGCATTCTTCCTCTTGAGATGCATTCAGGGACCAGGAAGTTACTGATTCCTGGAAAGTAACCGAATTATTTCTGTGATATGTCCCAAAACAGACAGTTGTTTTTCAAAGCGGCTCTAAAAATGATTCCGTTTATAGATTAAACATCACCGGTTATCCCCCCGATGGATGGATGGGTGGATGGATGAAAGATTTGATCTTTTTTAGGTAGAAATGTTCCTGTGTTTTAAATCCTTACTGAGATTCTCTTGAAGACTCAAACTCTCCAATGTCTGCTCGCTGTAGTATAATCTGAGATTAAAGAACTGTCATTTTCAGATCTTTGATATTAGATTCACAGACATGTTTCAGGAAAATCTAGGCAATTAATCTGCTATAGATCATCTCTATTAGAAACATTTTAAACTGTGGATATGCAGCTGCATCTCTGCCTTTATCAAAGTATAGATGGTGTTTACTGTCTGAACTGTTGTTCACTATTTCAAACAATCACTTCTGTCAGTTTGTGGGTTTTTCTTCAAAGATCTTAAGATGGTCCGTTCTAAACAACCGACCATCCTGACTGTCATGAAATCTGCATTGTGTGAATAAATCCTCTCAATGTGTAGATCTGGGTAAGAAAACTCCTCCTTTGATCTTTTCCTCACAGGCCACCGTACCTTCATGGCTGTGTACGTCCTCTCAGATGGGGCGGGTCAAAGCTCCCAGGTGCCTTCTCACCTGTCCAGGATTCCCATCGCTCTGCTCAGCCCGAACACTGACTACACCAACAAAACAGTCCAGGTCTGTTAATTTTACGATCGGTTGAATAATGGGGATTACAACAGTGCAGCTTTCCTCTGAGCTCTAGCTGACCTCTGGGATGGTTTTATTCCAGCTGCTGAGCTCTAGCTGACCTCTGGGATGGTTTTATTCCAGCTGCTGAGCTCTAGCTGACCTCTGGGATGGTTTTATTCCAGCTGCTGAGCTCTAGCTGACATCTGGGATGGTTTTATTCCAGTGTTTATCAGCGTGTGTTTTCTGTTCCAGGGTAAAGTGATTCACAAAGGACCATTGGTGAAGATGTCGAAGGACGAGTTCGTCATGAAGGCTGTCATTCAGGGTAACAAACTGATCTTCATAGTCAGACAGTTGAACTGAATTAATGATTGTTGATCACAAAGCAAACACATTAGGTATGCGTTTGCGACAACACCCTCCAGATGCCTCATATAATGAGAGTGTGACCCAGAGATGGACATCATGGAGTCACCAAGTCCTCTCCACGCCATGTACTCACTCTGCCAACCACTGAACCAGGAGAGTCAAACCAGGACTGACACCACGCCCCACTCTGGTGGGACGCCTTCCTGCTGGGGTCACAGCCTCAGAGCAAATTAGCTGAAGCAGCTCAGGAAGCTGATCAAGGAGGATGTCTCTGGAACATCTGGAGAAGATTTAACCACAGGGTCCTCCTTCTAGATCTGATGTGAGACGGACCGCAGCAGAAGATTGTGGTTTTCTTGCGATAATGAAACCACAGAGACGTTGTGTTTTCTTCTCTCCTGTGTTCTTATAGTAGAGTACCTTCAGTGTCTGAGTCAATCCCTCCTGTCCACCGTGATGCTGTTTGTTCCTTTAATGGAACAGGATCAGTTTTTCCTTTGGGGACTGCCAGGAATTCTACCCGACACAGAACAGGCATCCAGGCCCTGAGCTACCAGGCAAACCTGACCAACATGTCTGTTCAGCAATGAGTGGACTGTACCTTCAAAGAGATACCACTGGAATGCCAGTCTGATATGAAGATGTAGAACTGGAGAAGATATATGCTAAAGCATTCCTGGTTGGGTAAAATAGAACAACAGACATTTCAGCAGTAGTTGTTTCACTGCAGCTTGGTGACCAGGAGTCAGAAACTGGTTGATATTTGACAACAAGGCACAGATTTAACCTACAAACTACAGATTCACTCACAATAGAACTCACTCTGATTGACGTTCCTATAGTCTACGTCCAGCAACACGTCTGTCCACCTCATTCAAAAGCTCCACCTACCAGCCCACTACTATCAGCTTGTTTTTGTATTACTTCTTAACAGGCTGTATTAATCAATATTTCTTTTTCCTTTGTGTGTTTTTTAGAGGAAGAAGAATCCACGCAGAGTGTCCGCCCCCAGCCTTCCATCAACCTGGTTATCCTGGGAGCTCTAGCTGAGAACTTCAATCTAAGGGTCAATCTAGGGGTATGTTAAATCAGCCACTGGAAGCTCTGAACTGTTTCCAAAACAAGACTTTTAGAGTGAGCCTGGATCTGTGGAAACTCCAAGCAGTGGAAAACATCAGACCTGGTTTCTCTGGAGAACTCTGCAGCTCTAATGCTACGTTCACACCGGACGCAGCAAGAGCAGCAAAATCGCGTCTGCTGCTTAATTTTTGCTGCTTGTACCAGTTTAGTTGTGATGC